TTTATTTAACAATTTTTTAATACTAACGATTTTTTATTTGTCCCCCATTGCATTTTTCGGGGTTTTTGGGGTTTTTGGCGGACCTACAAATTATAGTTGCGATGAAAAAAGGTTAAATAAACAATTGGGTATTATTATTGGGAATCCTGCAGCTGAAAAAAGTTTTCCGATAGAAAAATAGTTTTTTTGAATTATATACCATTTCTACCAAAAGTGTTTTTCCCCATATAAAATATGTACATGGGAAACTTTGGGCGCTTTGAGCGACCTCTAACTATTTTTTGATTTCAAAATAAAAAATAGGGATATATTTTTTCGGTATAGAACAATCTTGGGGGGTGAGAGCATAAAAATTCCGACTTTACTTTTTCACATGCATTTTTGGACCACCCTAATGCACATATATGTTTCTCGTATTTATAAATAGATTCCCTGAGGAAGACGCGAATATGCGTCCAAACGAGTAGGAGGAAAATAAACGTTTATTCTTGTTGTAATAAAATACCGAAAAGCTCCATACACAACATTAAACTCTCAGCTTAGTCGAGGAGAAATAATTATTACATACACGTATGTTTGGTTTTTGTACGGCTGCTAGTACCACTTTATATGAATTCGCTATTCTTCTACGCGAGTATCTGAAATGTGCTACTCTTCCACGCAAAAATCTGAAATGTGCTAGTCTTCCACGCAAAAATCTGAAATGTGCTAGTCTTCCACGCAAAAATCTGAAAAGTGCTAGTCTTCCACGCAAATAGTGAAATGTGCTACTCTTCCACGCAAAAATCTGAAATGTGCTACTCTTCCACGCAAAATTCTGAAATGTGCTACTCTTCCACGCGAATAGTGAAATGTGCTAGTCTTCCACGCGAAAATCTGAAATGTGCTACTTTTCGACGCGAATAATGAAATGTGCTAGTCTTCGACGCGGAAAGTGAAATGTGCTAGTCTTCCACGGTAATTTGAGATGTGCTACTCTTCGTTGGGAGCGACGATATAACATACCATATTTTGTTTGCAAAATGAAAAGCTAAATTCATTTGTTCGGCATTTCCTCTTACTCTCGTCTTCTATTTGTGCAATCTTGTATTAGCTCTGAACCAGTACTCAATGAACTTACAGGTTTTTAAACGAACTTGTAGAAAGTTACAAGAAAAATTACCCGCACTCCAAAAATATGTAAATGATAGCGATAATTGGAGAGTTGTGTAGAGAATGAAGCTGCAAGATTTTACCCGATGCTTTTTTTGTTCCCGTACTTTTAACTGTTACTCACTTGTTACTCTCACTTCAGAGAATGATTTTGCTGTTTGACATTTTTGCAGGATTTTACACAAAAAGTTTAAGATCAGAGCTATTATGTCATCCATACATATGTATGTTTGTTCATCAGTTATCAACGACCCCAGTTACTATGATTTAAGTAATTTAAAAATTTTCGCCTTGATTTTTTATCAAGAGGCTACTAAACCTATGCCTAAAACCATGCTACGAATATCAAAACCACTTGCAACAAATGAGTTCATACATGTATGTACACACAAAACCGTCAATTGCTTTATATACGTACAAAGTATAATGTTCCATAACGCCGAGCTAAAAAATATTGACAATGTATACTTTTCCAAAAAGCATCCGAAAAGTTATCGAAACGCATTACTAGAGCAATCAGCGCATCAGAAACACAGTTCATGCTTCGTTTGTTATTGGTTACCATTGGTGTTTTAAAAATGGAAAATTCAGAAAAATTGTTCATTGCTATATTGTATATTAAAAATATGCAATGTATATGGTTGCAATGTGTCGCAACTCTGCATATACAAACAGTTTGAATACAGTATAACAGGTACAAAGCTGTATGCATGCGCAGAATTTGCATAATGGGAAGTAATAATCATTTGTGCCGCATTTTCTCTGCTCTGCATATGCCTATATGTATGCAACCATTTGCAATAGCAAGTAAACATAGAGAGCTTCTAATGAAATTAAAAACTGTCTGCTGTAATACGCATGCTAAGCCCTTCGAAATTTTCTGCTGGGCTATGCGTTACAGCTTCGACAATTTTACCCCTACCGAAACGAAAGATGTATACACAGCAAAAATCGTAATAAGCTGGAAGCCATTACCTTAAGTAGTGTTCTTTATACAAAGGATTATTTAAAAAGGTACGGACATGAGTGCCATGATATAGATTTAAATGAGAACAAAGATTGATTAAAACACTTTTAATAAACACTGCTGCAGCTAGAATTCTGTTGCCAAATATGGTTTTTGGTAGTTGGTACTGGTAGGAGGCAAAAAAGTTTTCGTTTTTGTCATCAGTTTACCTTGCACGAAAAACTCGGCGTTGTGAATTTTCACTAAATAAAATTGCTTATGGTGCGCTATTTGTTAGGACAAAAAGGAAAGTAATTTTGGTTTCTAAAATTAAGTTAGCAACTTAAATTTTATATAATTAACTTTAAAGAAACAACATCATTAGCGAGGAGGAATGCACAGATCCGGAGACAGTTTTTTCTTTAATAGAATTGAACAAAAAAAGATTTGTAATAAGTTAGATACCACAAGCTTAAGTGGTATTCTTAATTCATGATATAGACTTAAATGAAAACTAATATTTGTTAAAATACTTTTCAAATTAAAACGTATACATTCTTATAGGTACATACTATATAAATATTTTTTGTTAATTCTCATGTTTGAATAATATTTGGCTATAAAAATACTTGTATGTTTTGTGCACTAGTCAAGTAAAACTGTTTTGACTTCATGAGCTTGTTAAATAAAATGTGTTACAGTTTTTTTATAACATGTACAATGTTAAAAAAAGAATTGAAGTGAAAAGATTTTTTTTCAGTTTCAATAACCTTTATATGGATTTTGAAAATTGTATCATCTTCTTCTTCTTCTTTTATGGCGCTGTAACCGCCTAAGCGATTTTGGCCGAGTTCAGCAAACCACGCCAGTCGTTTCTCCTCTGTGCCAACTGACGCCAATTGGAAACGCCAAGTGAAGCCAAGTCCTTCTCCACCTGATCTTTCCATCGCAGTGGGGGCCTCCCTCTTCCTCTGCTACTTTCTCTCAAACACTCCAATAGCCGCCTCATCGGATGTTGTCATGCTTCTGCGTCATATACCAGCACGGGCATGATGAGTGACTTATAGAGCGTGGTTTTCGTACGTCGAGAGAGGACTTTACTCCTGAATTGCCTACTCAGTCCAAAGTAGCACTTGTTGGCAAGAGTGATTCTGCGTTGGATTTCAATGCTGACATTATTATCGGTGGTAATGCTGGTTCCCAAGTAAATGAAATTCTCGAAATTGTAACTGTCAACAGTGACGTGGGTGCCAAGGCGCGAATGTGCTGACTGTTTGTTTGATGACAGGAGATACTTCTCTTGTCCTCGCGTATCGTTATTGTATCATTACTTGGCAGATTTTTAACAAAATTTGTCTGGCAACATTGCATGACACTATATTGTTATACGGCGTTTCCACGCTTCGTTATTTACTCTGTCATTCGTAATTCGGTCTCCCATTCGTCATTCGCTTTGCCAATTACGTAATTCGCCATACAAAAATTTGAGAGCGAATTACCTCATTTGTGGGTACTTTGTATCGAATTACCATGCGAATGACGAACGAATCGGCGCCTGCTCTAATATTTATCGCAAATATATCAAAGTTTTCACCGGTCTGGTCCCATTGCTGGCACTTTTTCTAGTTATAAAATAATATTAATAAAATATTCTCTATATAAATTAAAATTGTTGGTGATAGTTTCAATTTTAGCTCCATCTTCGATATTTGCAGAACACAAAAAAAATAATAATAAATAGCGAAGAACAAGAACAAGAACTAGAGCTGCCAAAAGAATTACTAATGTGTGTCATGGAAACAGGGTAATTCACGAATTACTTATCGAGTTACTTAGTCAGCGAATTACTAATCGTGGAAACATCGTTTTAAATTATTAAATAAAGTTCCAGAGCAAGTCAAAAATATTAGAAATTTACTTTTCTTTAAATCGATGACTTCTAACGAATTTGGTTTTACGATTTAACTGTTAACTTTATCAATTATTTCATTAATTCCATCGGCATTTAAACACATCAAAATATTTTTCTAAGAGTTTAATTTTATTTATTTTTACCTTAACGTGTATCTTACAAAAATGTATCTTTTTAGTGAAAGTTTTGTAATGTGCGTACCTTGTTATTAACAAAGAAAAAAAATACCTTCAAATCACCTTCGAACTTCAACTCGTCCTGTGCTCCTTTTCATAAGTGTTGAAAGCCCCAAAAATCTCATATATACGAAGCCGGAAATTGTCAATGGTCTACCACAAATGGTCTTCCAATCGGACTTCTGGTTTCGATCGGAAGGGGATTAAACAGACCAGAAGCCCATTCTTTTAAATGAGACATACACGTTTTTCCCGCAGATTCGGATTCTGCGGACAAAACTATGTAAAGTTTTCTAAAATGGAGGAAAATGTTTTTTTTTTTTTATTAAACAAAAAACGCAAAAATATGAGTTACCAAGTCGGGGTTGCTTCATCTTTTGGTCGTATTAGCGAATTTCGGTTTCAATGGACTTACGGTTTGTTTAACCCACTTTCGGTCGAAACCAGAATTCGGTAATATATGGTCAAAAGATAAAGAATACCCGACTTGGTAATTCATATTTGTGCGTTTTCTAAAAAAAAAAAAACGTTTTCTTCTCCTTCAGAAAGGGCGGACACCCGGTGTTCGTATGTACATGTAAATAAATATGCAATGCTTCATCTTTTGGTCGTATTACCGAATTTTGGTTTCAATGGACTTACGGTCTGGTTAACCCACTTTCGGTCGAAACCGGAATTCAGTAATACGGTCAAAAGATAGAGAATACCCGACTTGGTAATTCATATTTGTGCGTTTCGTTCGTATGTACATTTAAATAAATGTACATTGAGCATATGTATATAACAAATAATAGTACATAAATTGTTTTCTTACTGTGGTTGAAGTTTTAGTTTCCTTCATAGGCGGGAGGTTATTGTTATTATTGTTGCTATAGTTGGCCTCCAGTGTGGATATATAAGGTCGTTCAGAAGTTGGTTTATATTTTGGAATAAAACTGCATTTTTCGGCAGGATCTTCTTTGGATGCATCTCTATCAAAACTGCGTTTGTTTGTCGCTAAAGAAATAAATCCCGAAGAATTCAAACTTTCAGAAACGTCGGTTAAACCCCTAATTTGCAATAAATTCGCAGTTTTCAGGAACTCGGGCAGTTGATCATGCCTTAGGTTCACCTCACCATTGTACATGAAGCTTAAAATTAAAATAAGATTATTATTAAAATTCAGAGTTGGCCTTAGTATCTAGTTTCATACTTTCTCACCTTAAAATACACTCCAGGTTTTCTGAGCGAACATCTTTTAAAATAACAATAGGATGTTTGCATGGATTTGACTTCAACAATTTACGGAAGTATGGACTACAGGCACTAAGCACTACCCTATGAGCAGTAAAGGATTTCTCATCACAAGTTAAAGTAACGTCCACGAAGTCTTCTTCATCACGTAAACGTTGAAAGCAATTTAAAATAGATGATTGAAATTCGCTCCATTTTAAAGCGTAGTGTTGATGTTGCTGCTGTTCGATTGTAAGATTTTCCGGTAACGAAATGTTCTGCTTTTGTTCCATTGGTAATAAATTTGGCGGTTTCGAGAACATAATTGTATTTGTAAATATAGGAGGAGAAGCTATCCTTTTAATTTAAATTTGGAATATACGATGATATTTTACTCAATTGTTCCATGAAACCTGTAAAATGCCAAAATACCAAAAATATTATTTACTCAAAAACAAGGTAGTAACAAAACAAAAAATAGTCTTGGAGAGTTCAAAGTCAATCATTTGAAAAAGAAAATTTTGAGTTCAATTTGAATATTTTGAAGAACCTTTTGAGAGAAATAAAAAAATATATATGTAATTGCAAGTAAATGTTTAAGTAAAACTCCATTCCCCGCATGAGGAGTTTTTTAAGGTGGCCACATGTCACTTTTTCATCACAATCGTGTCGCGAAAACAGATAAAACATTCCACAAATAACCAACTTGTAGTCGGCTTTTTTGTCAATTATAAAAAGTTAAGTTTAGTTAGTTACAAAAAGCTAACGTGAAATTAGTTGAAAAGTAATGCAGGAGTCATGCAGACGTAAACGGGAGTTTTTTTCTTTAAAAAGGTTTCTATTTAAAAATTCTCATAAAAATTTTACTTTGACTAGATTTTTTTTCTACACTTTACAAATACTTTCTCGAATCCGGGACAAAGAAAATGAAGATAGGGATTTTATATTATCATTTTGAATATATGCCTGACGGAATTTGAATATGAGACCAATTATAGCAGAATATGTTAACAAATATGTAATGTTAAATAAAGTAAATTATTAAAGAGGTAAACAATTTTAAAACTATTTATTTTCTTATAGATATTTTATATCTAAAAGTAGCTAGTTAGAAGTTAGTTTATACCTAATGCTGAGGTAGCCACAATTGACTATTTCCCGGCCATCGGCATACAAATATAATTAACTTTCCTCATCGAAAATACAGTAACACACGCTTAAGTACCTCACGAAAAATGTCAGCTTTTTGAGGTACTTAGACAGTTTGGGTACTTAAAGGAACCCGCTTAAGTACCTCGATGCGGGTACTTAAGCGAACTTATACCTTGTTTATACCTACGCAAGAACCGCATTAACAAAAAACCGATTTTAATCAACATATATTTCTTGACGAAGCCGTATTCAAAAGTAAACAAAATCTGCTATTTTTATACGACATTTCTTAAATAATTAATTTACGCGGTTGACCAAAATGGAAGCAAACAACAATTCGAATTTATTACAACAATAATTCAAATTTAAAACGGGCTGTATAAAGAAAACCAGTCTATTTTCACTTCACGTTAATTGAATGATGCGTTTCTACTTGTTTTCTAACCGATTTGAGAAATAAAAAACCGATTTTAAATAAAACTCGAGTCAATACACTTTTGAAATTCAGAGCGTATTGAAATTTAGTTAATGCATCCGCTGGGAGAACTGGGTCAAAGCGCTTTATGTGTCGGTATGAACAAGCTATTAGTTAGTAAAATTTCAAAAGTTATATTTCATGTAACACCACGAGTGTTTTGATCGCGCATGATTGTACTAATACGGTTGACAAACGGGCTCGCTTATTTGCATAAACAGTCTTTATTTGCTTTAACTCATGCATTTTCGTCTTTAAAATGTGCATAAGCAGTCGAAAAAATGCACGCAATTTTTGGGAATGAACTCGCATCCGGGGAATTTTTGATGACAACACTGGTAAAAACAGCCAGCTGTTGTCTTTTGTACAATTAAGTAAACAAAGCAGGCGAGTTTGGCGTCCGCGGTAGCGAGTGGTGAGAATTGCGTACTACAAGCCTGTAGCTGCCAGGTTCGATCCTCGGTTAGAGCGATTGCGAAAAAATTTTTTGGTTTTATTAATTATATTTTATTTCATTTGATTTAATATTTAATTTTACTTTCTTTTAGTTTAATTTGGTTTATTTTATATCACATTTTTTATTTTACTACTAGTTAATTAAAATTTTTGGAGTGAATTTTATTAAAAAGTCAACAACAACTGAAAGCGACCTTAAAAAAATATAGATCTTATAAAAAATTAATAAAAACGAAGTAAATGAAAATTCTATTGGTCGTGGGATTCGAACCCACGACCTTGCGGCTCGTTAATACCCAGTACTGCCGTCTGTCAGGGAAAAATTATTATGCGCACTTGTGTGCTATTTTATCTGCATAAG